CGCCACCTTAGGTGTACGTCGCTGGCGCCTTAGCCGCTTGAGCTATAGGCGCCGAGCCTGTTTTTTTTTTTTTTTTTTTTTTTTTTTTTTTTTTTAAGACAGAGTCTCACTCAGTCTCACTCAGTAGAGTGCCATGGCGCCACAGCTCATAGCAACCTCTAACTCTTAGGCTCAAGTGATTCTCTTGCCTCAGCCTCCCAAGTAGCTGGGACTACAGGCGCCCAACACAATGCCTGGCTATTTTTGTTGTAATTGTCACTGTTGTTTTAGCTTGCTGGCTGGACCCACCAGCCTCAGTGTATGTGGCTGGTGCCGTAACCGTGCTACAGGCGCCAAGCCCATGAAGACTTGTTTTGCTATTGTGCAAACTGATCCCACCTTCTTTATAGTTCTATTAGATTCCATTAAGGACCCTGGGTTGTTTTAGGGACCTGGTGAATTCTCATTAAAATGTTCATTGATTAATTCCTTTCACAAAGAGTTGCCAGATTCAGCAAATAATAAAAATAGAAGACGTGCAGTTAACTTTCTTTTTAGAGAGGGTGTCTCATTATGTTGTTCAGGCTGGTCTCTAACTCCTGGCCTCAAGCGATCCTCCCACTTCAGCCTCCCAAAGTGCTGGGATTACAGGGGCATGAGCCATCAAACCCAACCTAAATTTAAATTTCAGATAAATATGGAATTTTTTTTTTTTGGTAAAGTATGTCCCATGCAATATTTGGGACATATATGAATTTTGTTTATCTGAAATTCAAATTTAACTGGATGTCCTGTATTTTTATTTGCTAAATCTGGCAACCCCACTTTCATGACCATCTGTTGTGCTATCTGCTCAGCATCCATTCCTCCTCCTTCTGGAATCAGCACCTTGATTTGCTTTTGGAGAACAACTGCTCCCTCATGCTCAGGCCACGAGGCTTGACTGAAGCTCACCTCCCACCCCCTCCTCCTCCATCATCTTGAAGGGAAGACATGTGCACAGTTCTGGGCAGAGCGCTTCTTCCCCAAGAGAATGATAATTGGTTTAGGGACATGCACTCAACCCAAGCCAAGCCAATCAAAGCCCTTCCCCTAGGTAAATGCATAAATCGCAGAGACAGCTCTTTTTTTTCCCTTTTCTTTCTTTCTTTTTTTTTTTAGAGACAGAGTCTCATTTATCGACCTAGGTAGAGTGCTGTGGCATCACAGCTCACTGCAATCTCCAACTCCTGGGCTTAAGGTGATTCTCTTGCCTTAGCCTCCAAGTAGCTGGGGTTACAGGTGCCCGTCACAACACCCAGCTGTTTTTTGTTGCAGTTTGGCCCAAGCCAGGTTTGAACCTGCCACCCTCAATCCCACTGAGTCACAGGCACCGCCCCCACACAGACATTTCTTAACAAATCAGTTAAATTTTTTTAAAAAGAAGAAGAAAAAACACAAGGACAAACTCTTTTCCCAGTAGAGTTGCTACATTAGGATGTGAGGCTGACACTATTGGTGGCCAGTTTGCCACCGAATGGAGAAAACCTGCCTGGGAACAAAAGCAACATGGATAAAAAACAGATCTGAGGCTGAAGGTTCTGGAGCACATTGTTAAGAGTATCTGGATCCACCTGCCCTAGGACTACTCAGTTATATGAGTTTTAATTTGCCTTGTTTAGCTTAAATCAGCATGAACTAGGTTTCTGTCACGTTTATAACTAAAAATCTTGCCTAACAGTTACAGTTTCACAAACATATGCCCATTTATGCACACATACCCCTTACAGCAGCGGTTCTCAACCTGGGGGTTGCGACCCCTTTGTAACAATGAAAATACATCCTGCATATCAGATATTTACATTACGATTCATAACAGTAGCAAAATTAGTTATGAAGTAGCAAGGAAAATAATTTTATGGCGGGCGGGGGGTCACCACAACATGAGGAACTGTATTAGAGGGTCGAGGCATTAGGAAGGTTGAAAACCACTGCCTTAGAGGTAAGAGTGGACCCAACTGAAGGAGAGAGGGCAGCCTATGCCCCTACACATCTCCACGCCTCACCAAAACATCCTCCTATGCAGCCCAGGCCCCAAGACCAGCCCCTACCCAGCCCTGCCCCACCATGTTCCTACCTGCAGCATGGCCAGTGCCCGCCAGAAGAGCTTGGAGTTGCTAATGCGGAGGTCCAACATGTGGTTTTGGAGAATCTTCCCAAGAAGCACATGAGCCCCTGTACTCACTGTATTCAACACCCACTTGGTGCTTAGCTCACGCTGGAACTTCTAAAAAGGGCAGACATACGGGTACTGAAAATTAGAGGACAGAAGAGCAGCAAAGTTTGAAACAGAAAACCAATAGTTGAAAACCAGGGACCAAAATGCACATATCATTTGTTTGAGTAGCTGAGGGTTTAAATGTCAAAACAGTAGGTGTGAACTGGGACTGTGCCAGGCAAATCTGGTGGCCTCACCTGCATGTGGTTTTCTTTGTTAGTTTTCATAGTTTGGGGGGTTTGGGATGTTTTGTTTGTTTGTTTGTTTGTTTGTTTGAGACAGGGTCTTGCTCTGTCACCTGGGCTAGAATGCAGTGGCATCTCATAGCTTACTGTAACCTTAAACTCCCAGGCTCAACAGATCCTCCTGCCTCAGCTTCCTAAGTAACTGGGACTACAGATGTGCACCACCACACTCAGCTAATTTTTCTATTTTTTTTTTGTTGTTGTTGTTGTTGTTGCTGAGACAGAGTCTCACTATGTCGCCCTTCATAGAGTGCTGTGGCGTCACAGCTCACAACAACCTCAAACTCTTGGGCTTAAGCAATTCTCTTGCCTCAGCCTCCCAAGTAGCTG